TGCCTCTAACTGCCTGTAAAGCACTCGTGAGAACTGATTATATATTAGCCCACAAAGGAAATCCCAGTAAGTTCCAAAAAAGTAAAGATTGGATAGGCCATGTTCTCTGACCATGCCACAATAAAACTGGAAATTAATGGCAAAAATTCAACCCAGCGAACCCAAACACTTTGAAACTTAACAGCACTCTATTACCTAATTCTTGGGCCAATGAGAAACCAAAGCTGCAATTATAGATCATTTAAGTCCCAACCACAAAAAGAACACTGTGTGCTGACACTTTGGGGGTATGGCCAGAGATAAATTCAGTGCTGAAGACTCAACATTAGTAACAGAAAAGACAGAAGATAAATGGTCTGAAGTGTCAAGCCAGAAATTAAAGAACAATAACAAACCAAACCAAAGACAGCAAAGAAATGGATAACCAAATTCCAAAGTATAAAACAATGATTTTTAAGATTGAAAATGTGTGCTGTCAGTGAGATGGCTTTTTCTAAATGAATAATGATGTGAATAAATTGTTAATCCAAACACATTGTGCCAACCCTCCGAAAAATGAGGAAAATGGTATGTATTTATCTACATAGGTTTTTTTGGGAGTAGGAGGTTTGATAGTTGTAAGGTAATAGTTTAAAATGCCCCATATATATTTCATTTTAGTTTTAGTTTATGTGCATGTTATATATGTGAACCATGTATTGCAGTGCCTCCAGAGGTCAGAAGAGGGCACTGAATCCCCTAGAACAGGAGTAATGAGGCAGTTTTAAGCTGCTGAGTGGATGCTGGGAATAAAGCTTAGACCCTCTCCTAGAGTATCAATAGTTATCAATGGCTTAGCCATCTCAGTATTGATATTTTAAAGAAAAATTAAAACTGCTAATTTAATTTAGAATAAGAAAACTAGAACAAAGAATGAATGACCGTGTGAAGATCATATTATCAACTATGAGAGGGCACTACACACTCTGTTTAGGATTTAGGGTCTAGAACCAGCCACCAGACTCAGCTGTTGGCTACAGAGCCCTGAACAACCTCTTCCAACCTGTTTCCTTATCACTAAATTGATGATGACAGTAGTATTGACCTTCTGAAGTTGTCAATGATATAACAAAAGCCAAGCCTCTAGCATCCATACCCAGAGACACATGCAGTCTTAATCACACAGTGATCCACAAGATACACACACACACACACACACACACACACACACACACACACACCATCAACCATCAGGCATTTTTTACTATTGCATTCCCCCAGAACCTGTAAGTAGCCAATAGTTCAAATGCTAGATGAATAATTTCAAAGTATAGATAAAGATGTATTCCTAGTCATTTCACTTCACAAAATCATAATTTTAATACAAAACCTTAACAGTGTTAGCACAGAAAATCCAAATTCTTTATGAGCACATATGTATACATGTATAAGTTAAATGTGGGCAAATAAACCCCTGAGTTATAATAAAATGAAACACCAGAATCCAATAGGACATATCCCAGGAAGAAATGAGTGTTTCAGCATTAGAAAATCTACCATCTACTTTGGCACTTTGGGAGGCAATTGATGATGTGTTGACCCAGAAATGTAGTTATTAGCCTAAGGAAATAAAATTCAGCCAAAGACTGTGCTCAAGGTTATTTGAGGTGACATTATTAAATTCTTAAGCAACCCAAATACCCAAACTGGAGGAATACTCAAATATACTTAGATTAGATTATGCTTAAGTGACATATAGAAATAAAGGATAGACTATCCTATAGGAAAAAGTTTGGTGAAATCATAAAAACATGCTCTAATAATTATTTCAAAACATAAAAATATATTCATGATGTTCACTAAGCATAAAAAAGTTAAAAAATATGTACAGTGTATAGAAGCTGCACATTTTAATATATGTATTTATGTATATGTGTGTCTGCTATATGCATCATATAAATACACATATATGCAAATACAATACTGGGCTTTTGCTAATTTAAAAATGTTGCATTGAGTAGTCTTCTACATTTGTCATTTCGTAGAAATGTGAAGATGAAACCACCATCATACTTTTATTCTTTTTAAGCATATTAATCCGCATGAAAAAAATGACATGCACACAGTTATTCATTTTAATATTGTTTAAGTGCATGTGAGAGAGTGAGCATACACAGCCCTTTATGAAACAAGGGAAATAAGAGGAAATAGAACAAAATGTCACAGCGGTTATTATAGGCAGTTTTAATTTTTGTTTCTGTACTTCATTTGAAATACTATTTCTTAATGCCAGCACACACACACACACACACACACACAGAGAGAGAGAGAGAGAGAGAGAGAGAGAGAGAGAGTAAAAGCGAGAGAGAAAGAGAGAGAGCAAATATTAGAAAAATTACTTTCAGTGAGTCTCAAACAAAGAGCAAAGCGCCACACACATCTCAAGTCAAGTCACTTAGCTGGTTTTGACTTCATTTTTTAGTGATGCAATAAAGATTACAGTTAAGGTATCTGGGGAGTTTCAAATAGTGTGCCGCTGTGACAGGCCAATAGTATATAGTCCTTTTACTCCATTCCCTAGTTGAGGCCATTTTAAGGATTAGTCAAGAAAAAAAAATAAGATGCATCTGAGAATAAACACACCTAGAGGACATTATGTTAAGTGAAATATGTCAGCTAAGAAAGACAGATTATGGCATGTTCTCCCTGTGTGTGGATGCCAAAACAGTTGATCTGAATATTGAATAGCAATTTGTAGAAGCTTGGAAGTATGTGAAGGAATGAGACAAGAGGGAAGCTGGTTTAAATTCTGGGGCTGCACATCACAGGTGGGGGTGGTGAATGCAGCTCCCAAGGCCTGTCCTTTATTCTGTGGCCAAGTAGAAGAGATGAGCTTAAAGCTTTCAAATATAGAACATGGGCTTGCTAATTAATCTGGCTTTATCAGTTCACATGTGTCTTTAAATAGTATGCTGTGCATCCAACTAAGTACGATAATTAAAAGTACAAAAAAGAATTTTAAAAGAAAGAGATCACCTGAATTTAACACAGGTCATGGAGTGCAACTGGCTATCAGAAATGATCCCCTAAATCTCAGGTGTCCAGCACGTCTTTCTTTTGTCACAGGGACTCTAAGAGATTCAAAATGTCACCAACTGCCACTCCATCCATTAACCCTGGGTTCTCCTATTTATTCATTTTTGAAATGTTGTTTTAAAATGAGAAACTAAACCACACAAGCAAAGAAAGAACAAAAGTTGACACCCCTTCGCTGGCCTCTCCCCATTCTGACAAGGCTTTTCATGATGTAGCCCAGGCTGGCCTCAATACCTCCCCTCTGACATCAGCCTCCTGAATTCTGATATCACAGAATCCTCCCACAGTCCTCTCTCCTCTCTCTGCCTCAACTCTCCCCACACTGCAGTCCCTCCTCTCTCTTTATTCTCCACCCCCTTTCTCTACCATATGGAGAGGAATTTTCTCCTATTGATTAAATCCATGTCTAATGCAGAATGGATTCAGCTCTTGGCAGATAGATTCTTCCTTGGCTGTAACTTAGTTTTTCTCAAGAAGGGCCAGTATCAACCAATGAGGAATGCTAGCCTACTGCTCAGCTCCCCGCCCTAACTGGATACTCTGCTGGTCTATTTGAAGGATCCAGTTTCAACAGGGGAACCAAGCAGTCATTCGGTCACTCTAGAATTCTTATATGTTAGAAAGAAAGCAATGACAAAAGAGAAATATTGATTTAAAAATGATAACTTAGGGGCCTGGATTCAGGAGATTGTTATAGAAGACTTTATGTTTTATTGGCTATGAGGATGAAAAGTGAAGAAAAACAAAGTAGAGGTGACTAACATTTGGAATTCCAAGTTAATGGGACATCAGTGTCGTGGGCCGGAGCTTGAGCTTTGGAGAATAAAATGGCAACGCTATTTTGGGAAGGGAGGAGGTTTCAAGGGGCTACAAGGGGTCCATATGCAATTTAAAAGCAAACAGTGAGGCTACACATGCTGATTTGGAAGTGATCCTTCTAGGCAAGAAGGTTGTAGTTATAAACCAGAGTCCGAGTCTTCATGAGGACAACTGAGCCTAACAGAGCCCCAAATACGTAGAGAGGAGGAAAGGAGAAAGGGTGAAGAAGCTAGAGTGTGAGGCCAGGGGTAGGAAAGACATTTTCAATAAGATGCACAGAGATGGATGCCAGTATCCCAGCCCTGCAAAGATGGAAGGGCTATGACTCATAATTCAGAGAACAGAGCAAGATTTCATGTGTTGTTTTTTTCCCTCTTGTTTTGGCTAAAATCAGATATACTTACCAGTGAAAAGCAAGACAATAATGTTGTGTTAAAGCAACATCACAGTGTTGGAGTATACTTTAGAGGCAAGCCAAATCTTCATTCAAACCATTTTAGAAAGCCTTGGAATGCCCTGATCTCTGAGCATTGGCAGCCTGGCTCTATGGATTTTATTGTTCATTCAGTCTAAGTGGGCTTCTGCACTATGAATAGAGAATGTGCTTTTGAACTACCGGGCTGTGTCGGTTAGCCAAGAACTCAGGATTCCTGATCCTGGACACTGAACAGGGAGCCTAACATATTTCTACATCTCAGATATTGTCAGACCTGTACATATAAAAACAAAAATCAACTTCCTCTTTGTAGTGGGCTGTGTCATGTAAGTGTCCTTGTCAAATATTCCCCCATCCTCCTTCTTTACTGACCTAAGTGTACTCTAGCATAGCCTCTGTGACCAGTCAGCCAGATCCAGGTGTGTGTGTGGAGGGGGGTGGTCTGTTGGGGGAGAGAATGTCACCACAGTGACCAAAAGAAGCCTGATGTAGTTAGAAGACAGAAACAGCCAGAAGAGTTTTTTGAGCCTAGTATATTGTTGCAAGCCTTTCTTAGAAAGGCTTCCTTTGAGTCAGTGAAAAACAATAGAGGATAAAGAGAACCACTGTTGTGTTGGAGAGCCAACAGAATCCTTTACTTGTTTTAAAATGTCTTTTCTATGACTTTCAGGTGATCGTCAGTATAACCATCCGATCTTAAGCAGCGCTACCCAGACCCCAACACACGGTGAGAGCTGATTCAGAGCGCCCTGCATCCCATCTACTTGTCAAGTGGTTCCATCCTAAGGACAGGAGAAGGAGGTGGAACCATGTGCCTGTCCTTGTCTGGGCCACACAGTTTCACTCTTCCTTTGAGACCATTGTCCCCTGGACTTTGACATCAGAGTAATTTTTCTGCCATAAAGAGAAGGGAAACCCTTTCCAATTTCATTTATATTTGCAACATTCATCACTCCTTGTGGTCACAGATTCCATATATCTGTAGCAAGGAGATTAATGTTCGCCTTTGCCCAAAGCCATTAGGAATCATTTACAAGTGAAATAAGACTTAGTTGAGCCTTACCTTCTTGACAGAGAAGAAGTTGACAGCTGCCCATCAGAGGGGTGCTAGGAAAGAGACAGTGGATAGCAGGGTCACCTTGCCCTGTCATGTTCTAATGTCCTCCCAGAAGACCGCAACTTAACATCTGGAAACCCAGATTAAAAAAAAAAAAAAAAAAAAAAAAAAAAAAAAAACACTATTTGGAATCTCTCTCAAAAACCTAATAGAACATAGGACAGCCCTAGTAAACTGTGACCTGTCAGTCATTCTTGTCTCTTCACTATGAAAGCTTAAATAAATAATAATAATCTATAGATGTTCTCCAAGAGACACACTTAAACAAACATAAATCTGAAGCTAGGTCTGGTGGTGCAGGCTTCCAATTTCATATATTAAGGAAAATGAGGCAGGACGATTGTAAACCCAAGGCCTTTTTGGGAAAGAGATTCAACTCAAGGCTGATCTGGGAAACTCAGTGAGCTAGTATCTCAAAACAAAAACAAAAGCTAGGGGTATAGATCAGTACTAGCACATTTTGCCCCAGGCCCAGTATTTACCTCCCCATATTCCCAAAGGAAAAGAAGGTAAACCAAGCAGCTCACCCAGCAGAAGGACTACCATTCTCAAGCCATATCGCACAGCGCATCAGCACTGAGGTTGTCCACATCTGGATGAGGAAGAGGGGATGGGGTGTTTTGACATGCTCTTTCAGCAGCGCTGTGGGACACCTGTGATGAGAGCAGGAACATAATTGGATGCTTCTGGTTGTAAGCTCTAAGGAAAAAACAAAAACAAAAACAAACAAAAAACAGACAGAAAACTTGTGATGATCAGTTAAAAGAGGGTGACACCAATTGTAACATTGATGGTCGGGACAGTAAAAACAAAACAAAACTGAGAGCTGGAACATTATGAGGTAAGAATTGAGATGATATGGTCACTCAAAATTTATATCTCCATGAGAACCAATGAAGACTGCAATGGAGAGCCAAGAGTGTTTGGAAGAGTGGGAGCTTGACTATGGATGCTATCTAAGGAATAAGAAAAACAGCCAGCAGGCTGAAATGGGACTGGTGATAGTGAATTTGAATATGAACTTAGAGAATTTGCTATGATTGTAGAAGACACAAGAAAAACATTCCATAAGTAGTTTGAGGTTGGAGTTGGAGATGTTCTCATTAATCTTTTGAAGGAAGTAACAGAAGGCTTGAAAGTGGGGAATATCCATGCAGGAATTCTGAAAGAGGAAAATAGAAGACAGGGAGCCCAGGGAATGCTGTGGGTATTGCGGAGTGGGAAGAGGAGCCGGAAAAGGCAGGCAAGGAAAGCTCCCACTTATTCAGTAACATTCTGGGATGAAAAACCACTGAGCTTGGCCTCCCTAGGAAGAGCCAATGCAAGCATAGACTCTTGAGTAAAAACAGAAGGAACGTTCCCTACTCCACTTCTTCCTGTTTTTTTCCCTTCTAGCTGGTACCAGGAAATGGGAATAGAGAGGTCCCAGCTTCTGTCCTTGAGCAGCTTGTGGCATACTTGAAGTAGAGCTTGCCTACATTCCTTTCTTGGGTGGTATCCTTTCCCCCAAGGAGTGAGTAGAAACTTTAGGGAGTCAGGAAAGGCCTGTATTTACTTGATCAACCAAAAAGCATTAACTAGATCCTCAGTTTGGGCTATGCCATCTGAGAGAAACAGGAAAATTAGAAAGCAGGCCTACTGATGCAAAGGAGATCTCTGAAGTCATTTAAGATGAACAAGACCAAGTCATGCCAAATCATTAAACATCAGTGAGATACTAAGTGGAGTGTAACTGACTGAAGGGAGATGGTGGATGGAACAGATAGCATTGATAACACATTGATAAACACAGCAAGGTCACAGTCATGAGCCTTTAGCGAAAGGAAAATGTGACAGAGGAAAAATAAAGCAGGACATATCAATCAATGACAAGCTTAAGTAATGGGGGCTCAGGCAACTACAGGCAGCACAAAAAGCAAGCTGGTCTTGGCTCAGTGGTAATTTCAGGATAAGGGTTAGATGACAGTATGTGGATCTACTGTGTTTGGAAGAGGGAGCACTGAGCAATGACCTCAGTGGGAGTAAAATGCCAAGACTCAGAGGGAACCCTGTTCTTCCCCAGCATGGTGAGGAGTGAAGAAACAAGAAATGGATTAATGGTAATTAACCAAGTCCAGGGAGCAGCACTCTCAACTTCATGCCCACTCTACTTCCTGGCATCTGTCCTGATCCATGCCAGGGAGGCTCTCTCTGTACAGCATGTTCTGATCTCTTGGGATACAGAGCATCTCTCACCCCCTCACATATGTACAAAGCTGGCACAAACACCAGCTTATTGGCTGAAATCCCCTGGCTCAATCCCCAGTTCTGGGGGTGACAATGCAGGCAGGGAAAGAGAGAAGCCAGGAGTTCCCTGCCTGGGGCAATCCTTGGATACAGCCTAGGAAGGTGACTGTCTCTCCCTAGGCACAACAGGGTTCTTGCAGTCTATACTATAATACTCTCTGCCAGGAGTATCCATCTATACATCCCAACTGCCTGCCTGTTGTCAGAGCATCTTTGGCTTTGAAGAGTCCCAGACAAAGAGGATGGATGAATGGTACAGCCAGACTGCTCTTTCTTCACTACCTCATTTCTGGGAATGGCATCACTATCTCCCTGGAAACCAACTGCTGACTTCCTTTTATGGCTCTTCCTCTCATGTCAATCAAACCTTAAGGCATTTTGTCTCCTTCCCCTGCACCTCCATTCCCTTTCGACTCCCATGCTCACTGTTTCTTCCCCATCCTTTTCTCCTCTGTTGTGTTCATCTTAATCTTTCCTCCAAAACCCACTCACCCTGAATGTACCATCACCAGTTATTCACTCTCTTAACTGATCACCATCTCCATTACTTCCTTGACACTTTGCCTGGGCCTGACAATGAACCATGTTCCATTGTATCTCTTCTGAATTTGGAATCTTGAGGGCTGTATCAGGGAAAGTGGGAGAAAAGAGGAAGGATATGACAAGTAAGTTTTCCTCCTGGGAGCTTGGAAATGACTTAGGCAGCTTCTGAGAAGGGGCTTAAGATAAGTAACAGTGACTGTGTAGCTCACAGAGGCTTGTCAAGTATGGCGTATAGAGAGGCCCAAAGGAGCTGCCCCAAAGGTGCTTGGTACCATGGACTAGATGCAGATTGTAGCTGCAATAGAGTCAGGTGCTATATCCAGCTCTTCCATGGGCTCTAGAGTTGCTCTGAAGTCAGACTAGCCTGATAGCAAAATTAAATCAGGACAGATATTGGGACATTATGAATTTATGATTCTTGTCTTAGGGTTTCTGTTGTTGTGATAAAACAAAAGCAACAACAACAAAATAAAATTGGAGAGAAAGGGGTTTACTTAGCTTACACTTCCACACCAGAGCCCCTCATTGGAGGAAGCCAGGACAGGAAATAGAGGGGGAACCTGGAGCAAGAATTGAAGCAGATACCATTGAAGAGTGCTGCTTACTGGGTTTACTAGCTTGCTCTTTCATGGCTTGCTCAGCCTGCTTTTCTATCCTGTCTGGAATGATTGGCCCAAGAAGGGCACTGCTCCCAGTGATATAGTCCCTCATCAATCTAGAAAATCCCCCAAAAGACTTGCCCACAGGCAATTTGGTGTAAGCACCTTCTGTAATGCAGTCCCTCTTCCCATGTGACTCTAGCTTGTGTCAAGTTGATGAAAGACTAGTTAGGGCAATGCTCTTTCATTGTAGCTGGTTCAGTTTTCATCCAACAAACTAGTGATGTACCCGTAGGAAGAAACTGTTGCTGTGTGTCCGAGTTGAGGCCTCCAGGACTGATCAATAGCCTTGGCATCCAGAGGAAGCTAAGACAATGTCTTCTCCCTGGGTGGATGACAAATGAAAACTGAGCAAGAGGAAACTGAATCCCAGTACTTCTTCCTGGGATCTAGCATAGGCAAGCAGAATGAGGACTCTAGTGGGGGACAGAGCAGGAAGTGGAGAGAAAACTTAGCCATTCTGGCTTCAGCTACCTCTGCTTTTATGTTAACTAATGTCATGCCATTCCTTTGCAGAGAAGCCACGGATGAATAACATCTTGACATCGGCCACCGAACCCTATGACCTCTCCTTCTCACGCTCTTTCCAGAACTTAGCTCACTTGCCTCCATCATACGAGTCTGCAGTGAAGACCAATCCAAGCAAGTACTCATCTCTGAAGAGGCTGAGTAAGTCAAGGCTGTCTGGAGTTGACGTCTGTCTCAAGGGTCCCCATGTCATCCTCTTCTGTATCACTCTGTCATCCCCTACCCAAGGGATCAGGTGTAGAATCCCAAGAAAAAGGAGTGGATTGTGTTCAGGATGAAGAGAATAGACCCCTTTCTTTTGTTTCCTGGTCTTGAGTCTACTCTTTTCATAGTTGAGAATGATGCTGTAGGACCATGATGCCCCCGTCCTCTATAAGCTGTACTTAACCACTCATGTACCAGCTTGCCACCAGCCTTCTTCAAAGCATGGGCCTTCCTGTGCGGCATTTCTTGTAATAGAAGCACCAAGAACCCAAAGAACCATTCTAACCCAGCTAAAACCATCTCAAGGACATGAGCCTTCACTCTTCTTCTGTTCATACTTTCATTTTATAGCTTATGTCTGGTTTATCCAGGGATCCACCTCTGCTGTTTGAGTCTAAAATGGCTGTTGATACTGATAGGTTTAGTGCATTCAAATGTCAAGTAAGTACATTTAGGGACATTTTTCTTTCCTGACCTCATCCTTACAACTTCTCATTTCTCTATAAATGATCCAACATTACTGCCACTTCTCTGTCTCTCTGTCTCTCTGTCTCTCTGTCTCTGTCTCTCTCTCTCTCTCTCTCTCTCTGTGTGTGTGTGTGTGTGTGTGTGTGTGTGTGTGTGTGTCTTGGGGATGCTACACAGAGCCCTGTGTATGCTAGGTAAGCATTTAACCCCTGAGCTACACCTCCAGCCCCATAAGTCATTTTTGATGGCCCAACTTCAGTTAGTATGGCCCAACTCCACAGCTGAGTATGTGCTTGAAGTTTCAGAGCAACCCACTCTTCTAGAAGTCCAGCCCAAGTCCACCTCAGCCATCTACAGAGAAATGTTGAGTTTGTATGGAAATAACTGAGCATCTCTGACCACCTGAGAGGTCTGATGGATGCCCTGAAATGAGAAAATGAGATTCAGTAGGCAAAGATAGACCCCACCCCAACCCTGAGCCCACTGAGGAGTAAGCAGCATTCCCACTCTGGGCAAGGAGTCCCAAAAGCTATCTGTAGGAGGTCTCCTTGCTGAAATCCTGGACAATGCAGCCTTATGTGTGCCCTGGAAAAGGTCAAAGATCCATAGTGCAACTCTGGGAGAACCTACTAGAAGGACAGGGGCCCAGAACATTTAAGCAAGATGCACATACAGTATTGCTACAGTCTGCTGCTTGGTGGGCTCAGGGAATAAGTGTAGGCTGATGATATGGCTGTGGAGGCTGGATGCCCATGTGTTGCTTTCCTGTACATTGGTTGTTACTCCAGAGAAGGTGTTACTAGGTTCCTAGGTTACCAGTGACGCTTTCCACAAATGCCTCCTAGACGCACATCCTACTTTATTCTAGCAAAACCTGATTCCATGCCCAGTTCCCATAAAGCAGTGGTGTAGGCATCATCTGAAAGCTGTCAGCTCTACCTATGTGTTTTAGCATGGCCAGGAGCCATTCTACTTCAGACCTGCATGCAGTAGACCCAGCAGGCAAGCCACAGGAATACCTCCGACTTGACATCAGCTCCACTATAAGCTGGATGGAGAAGTCATTTAACTGTCCCCCAAGGCGGTCCCTGAAGAAGAAACAGAATCTGGGAGTCCACTGGAGATACAGACCCTGGGGTGCAGGCAGTTAGTGCCCCTGAATGAGAACCTACCTTTCACAAGCCCTAGATGATTGGTTTGTGTTTGCAATGGAGGGGGGAGTTAAATTCACCTGTCTGAGCCCTCCCCCATCTACTCTAATTAAAGGCACTTGTTTGATTATGTTGTCCTTGGAGATCTCCAAGTCTGTGGTTGAGCTAGAAGACGCGCGTGCGCGCGCACGCGCGCGCGCACACACACTCCTTACTCCCTGAGCCCTGCCTGGCCCATAACCCATAACCCCAATGATTTCTCTCTGTCTCCTTGCAGCTGACAAGGAAGCTGATGAGTATTACATGAGGCGGAGGCACCTGCCAGACCTAGCAGCCCGTGGCACCCTTCCCCTCAACGTCATCCAGATGTCTCAACAGAAGCCTATGCCTCGAGAAAGGCCACGCAGGCCCATCAGGGCCATGTCCCAGGACAGGGTCCTGTCTCCACAGCGGGGCTTGCCTGATGAATTTGGCATGCCCTATGACCGAATCTTATCTGATGAACAGCTACTGTCCACAGAGCGCCTGCACTCCCAGGACCCGTTGCTCTCCCCAGAGCGGACGGCCTTCCCGGAGCAATCGCTGTCGCGGGCCATCTCGCACACGGACGTCTTTGTGTCCACACCAGTGCTGGACCGCTACCGTATGACCAAGATGCACTCCCATCCCAGTGCCTCCAATAACTCCTATGCCACCCTGGGCCAGAGCCAGACAGCAGCCAAGCGCCATGCCTTTGCCTCCCGCAGACACAACACGGTGGAGCAGCTGCACTATATCCCAGGCCATCACACCTGCTACACAGCCAGCAAGACCGAAGTGACCGTGTGACCTGCAGCGTGGTGGCCGGGCTGCTTGGCAGAGAGAGGGCAGGGCAGAGCAGAGCAGGGCAGGGATGGGGAGCATAACATCCAGCCTTGCTCTCCTCTCCTCCCTGGTTCCCCCCATTGGAGCTGGAGGTGGGCTGCCTTTGTCCAGAAAGCCATACCGCCAGGGACGTGGCACCAAATGCCTGGTCCAACAAGCACAGACCCAGGCTCTAGAGCTCTTTCTCTCCCGGTAGAATCCTTCCCATGCAAATGAGAAGAGTGGTGAGGCCCCAATCTTCCCTACCACCTACGCCACTCCCTCAGTCCCCGCCCCCACCCCTTCCTGGAGACTCAGTCGCAGGTTCTGCCAGCGAGTGGACTCTCCCCCTGAAGGTAATCCGAAGCTGCCTGAGTTTGAAAAGCCTGTGGGGCATAGGGTGCAGTCAGTGGGCTGACCGAATAGGTCTCCTTCCTGTATCTAGAACCGCATCACAGAAATCTCTTAGTGCCTAAAAACTGCCTGCTCGCTCTCAGCCAGAGAGCTGCTGTGTCCATAAGCACAATACGATTCTCTTCTGCCTGCTGGAACTCTGGTCTCTACCGAGTGGCCCTTCCCTCGCTGAGCCCTGCAGCCCTACAACAGGAAGGGTTCTCTTCCTTTAGCTCCTTGGTTGCCCCTGCCCCTGTGATGTGGGGGCTGTGCTCTCCCAGCCTTCACTGTTTCTCCTCAAACCTCTCTGGGGCTTTAGCTCTTGCCCCCAAGAGGGAGGAGCATCAGCTCCTGCCCTCCAGAGAGGAGTAGCGATGGTTGCCAGGACTTTAAAAGTGCCTTGGCAGCCACCTGGTCCTTGTCCCCGACCCCACCCCCGCCACTTCCTCCAGGCCACTGAGTCTGAACTAGGACCTCCTCTCAGGCCTGCCTTCTTCACCCGAGCTCTGCTCCCAGGAGGCACCTGCAGTGGGCAGAGAGCTAGGGTGGGGAGGCCACTGTGATGCCCAGGATCTCAGGGGCTCACCATTCCCATTATCTAGGGCTCTGCCTGTCCCCCACCCATGAGCCTCAGGCAGAACAGAGGCAGAAGTTTCCAGACAGAAGAAGCTTAGCCCCTGAACAGTCAGGAGCTCTCTGACGTGGTCATGCCGGACCCTGCGCACACCTTTACAGCATTTTTCCCACTCCACAATCTTTTTCCGTTTAGAACTCATTCTCTTTCCCTGTTTCCTCCCCACACACACCTACCTTCCCATCTCACCCCCTGCAGCTCCATTACTTTCTTCCGACCAGTGGATCCAAGGGAACAAGACCCATTGGCAAATGCAAATAAATAATGGTGTCCCAGGATGTTGTTCTGGGGGGCACTTGGGTATATGGCAGGGGCACCTGGCAGCCCCACTACCAGCCCTCCTCAGCCCCCTCTGCCTCCAATCTGAAGGAGGACAAGGTGTGACTATCAATGAAAGCAACATGCTCCCCCAAGATCAAGAGGAGGAAGACACTGAGTTCCCCCCCCCCAACCCCGGTTTGAGACTGGGGAGAATCAGACCCAGACTGCTGGTGGAGTGACCTAAGAAATGAAACCATTGCTTACTAGACTCTGCAGCAATGCCCTTAAGCTCAGATTTTATATCCCCTCAGTTCTGCATGGCTAGCCCTTGAAAAGAGCGATGGTAAGAAGCTTGTATCTGTCCTGGTCATTTTTAATCTAGCCAAGTCTACAAGCCATGAAGAAGTCAGTGGACTGCTTCCCCTCACTGCTTTCAAGAGCTGTAAGCTCTTTTATGCCCCTCCCCAGAATGCACCCCCCTGGGAGAGCAGGAATGGTCTCCAGAACCCAGAAGGATGGACGCTGGGGTTTCCAAAGGCAGGCTTTAGTCTCCCCACTGAGAGGATGTCCCTGGCACCATGGGGCCAGGAGGTCTCTGGATACTCAGCTTTCCTCCCTACAAACACATAAACCTTCTTAAGGGCTGGTCCCCATGGGTCTATGAGCTTTTGTTGCAGAAGGTAAGGCTCAAAGGAAGAGAAGAACTCAATCCAAATAGAGAGTGGCTCACTTCCAGAAGCAATGTTGTCTCACAGCTGGCCCCCAGCCCAGCACCCAGTAACTCTCTAATCCTTATCTGGTCCCTTTGAAGGTCGTGTGCTGGTGGGAAGAGGAAAGGTTTAGATTGTGGTAGGCAAGAATCCCCTCCTAGATGTCTAGACATCACATGGAGAATCTTCCAGACACTCAATTCTCCATATTTTCGGGAACAAGATTTCACCCCAGTATCTTCCCCCAACCTTGGCTCCAACAAAGGCATCTGTCTATCTTCCTGCCTGCCTGTCTGTCTGTCTGTCTCAGGGGTTGTTTGATAAATTGATTCCAAACTATTGCTCATCCCTGCCTTATCACCTTCTTGTATAAAATACCTGGCATTGGTTACGTCAGAAAATTCTAATGGAATTCTTGCTTCTCCTGAAGGCTTTTATGCTTCATACTTAGAAGGAGAGGAATAGTAACAGAAATGAAAGTCTATAGACTACACTAATCCAGTCCCCTACTCCAAACTCCAGAAAACTGTGTCTTAACTGGGACATGGAAATACACTACCCTTCCTTCAGTCTTGCATGACTCATTTAAATTACCTGTAGTCAACCATGATCCAGAAATATTAACATTTGTCTCAACTCTTTTGAGAGAATCCACAATCACATAGCTTTTATTACGGTATATTCTTATAACTTGTCCTATTTTATTATCGTCAATCTCTTCCTGTGCCTAATTTACAAATTAAATTTTATTGTACGTGTATGTATATGAAGAAAACATAATACATATAGACAGTCTAGTACTATGTGTGGTTTCAGCACCCATTGGGATTATTGAAGCTCAGTGACAAAGGAGAGCCACTAGATCCCATTAACTCACTCATCACTCCAGAACCAGCTAGCTAAATTGCTGTATGAACTCACATCAGAGTGTCTGGGGCTGGAACCCAGATGTCACTGCTTCTAGCCTAAGCGGGCTAATGTTCTCTGTTACACATGGGAGGGCCATGGCTCCCTCATGATAAACACTCATGTCCCAAGCAAAGGAAATTTGAGGTTTCCCTCTGCTTGTTTTGTACTTCTTGCACGTCTCCACTTTCCTGGACTGGAGTGTATACAGGTCTTGCTTGCCCCAAGTGTTCTTCATGAATACCTCTTACCCCACCCCAACCTTCCACCGTCCTTCCTCACTTCCTCCAGCGAACTCTTGGCTCCATATATTCATGAGCCACAAACGCTTGCCAATAATTCCTTAAACTCCTATCTGGATGTTGATCTTCACAATTCTCCCAGTGTCTTAGGCAATGTGTTTCCCTTAATAAGTTCCAGTTCTTCTCCAGGCTAAGTCTCTCGTTCCTGTCTTCACCTTCCATGCCAGTTTCCACTCGCCTTCCCATCATTTCCCTCTTCAATCAACAATTTCCCTTCAGCCCTAGTTTCTTGCACCTGGACCTGCTGAAGTCTCTAGTTGTAAGAATTGGAGTTCTTGGTGTAAACTGTGGAAGACTCTCTGGCAGTCTTTAAGTCCTTTGTTTGTCTCATTGGTGTGTTACACTTCCTCACATGGGAAATGATGCCCCAAGGTGTGAAGTCATGGGGCTCTCCCATCCCTCTGATCTCTGAAAGGGAAGGGAAAGAGCTGCCTGATCAGAGGTGCCATGGCCAAAAGATCAGCTTTGGTACTACAGCTACCAGACTCAAGAAGCTCTTGACTCAGACTGCTACTAGCCCAGAGTCTTTTGCTCTGGCCAAAGATTCATGCCCTTCGATGCCTGTAGCTCTTGCTTCTATTCCAATACCCTTCTCCTAGTGGACATAACAGCTTTCCCTTCATCCAAAGACACGAGGACTTGTAAGTTTCCAAGTATGGAGGAGTAGTCATCCCAACATCTCTGCCACCAAACTCAACCCATTTCCTTTGGAGAGTTCTTAGCTGCCACCTGCTTCATCCCTAATTACTTCCACAAATGTCTGTGGTCTGGACCCAACATCATAGTTTGAAAGGGCTGCCCATTGGTTGGACCCTAGAAGGCACCTTCTCTGAGAAGAGTAGGCACTTTAGCTCCTACACATCCTCTGCCATCCTCTCTGAATCTGAGGAACTGGGAGCTGTTTCCAGGAAGCTTGCTGTGCTTTAATCAAGTCTTTTCAGGGTATAAAGAGCTATTTTTATATGTGACACATCTTGGTAGTAGGTTTAACATGAAAGACAAGTCTTCCTAGTCCCTCTCTTTGATTTTGGAAAGTGGCATATCAGAGAGAGGGGGAGGGAGAGAGAGAGAGGACTGAGGCTCCAGAAACATGGCTTCTAGGTCTGGCTTTTGTCTCCATCTTGCCATGTGACTATGGGCAAGTCACATTCCAGTTCAGTGCCTCAGTTTCTCCACCTATAAAATGGGGGGCTTTGACTAGATGAGCCCCCAAACTTTCATTCAGCTCTTAACACTAGGGTTTTCATTCTCCACACTTTCCTGTCTCTACATTCATCCCACTTCAACTGAGCTGCACCCACTACACTCTGCCTACTCTGTGGCAACATCTTCAGAGTCCCTAGACAGCCACCAGATTGCTCACCAGATTTGGGTGGAACCAATGGGCTCAGCCACACATGGATACTCTTGTATTTGAAAATTAACCTGTTGACCACTCAACAGGTCATTGAGAATGTGTCTCAGAAGCCTCTCATATAAACATACCTAAACCACCTGGGTGTCTGTTGCTGTGAAATTCTGAGTTTTGGAGTTTTCATTTTTGATGTCCTTATAGCTGGAGGGAGGTAACTCTACTTTCAGAGAGAACACAGGATGAAAGAAAAGGGTCTAGATGTCTGACCATGACATTTGGGCATAGAGTTTGTATTTAAGGTCAGATGGGAAATTCATTCTATGTCCCAAAGGAGCACACTTGGCAGAGGCTCTGTGTGGCAAGGGATGCCATCATATCTCATGCCACAGCATGCGCCCTGGAGACCACATCCAGATGCTGAAGCTCCATCCCAACTGGAGAGGCCGAGGCATCACCACCTGGGCTGCTGGGAGGCGGGTTCTCACCCCATCCCAATATCTTTGTGGCCCCTCTTCGTGATTCTATCATCTTCCCCATGAAGGCTTGTGATGCACCAATGGAAATTCCAAGTCACTGTCATCAAACCCATCTTGTAAATCGTAAACACATCAACCTTCCATCATTCAGAAAAATAATGCTGTGTGTTTGCTTAACAGCCTCCCTAATGTGGGAGGAGAAGATCTTGCTCAACTTTGCTGCCAACCCTCCAATGACCCTCAGATGCCACTCCATTAAGAGGACCCATTCA